ATCACAGCGGGGACACCAGAAATAGGCTTCTTCACAAATTGTACCCATGTGGGGAATCGAACCCGTGACGAGCTAACGCTTTAACCACTAGGCTATCCCACCGCCCTCCATGGCAACGAGAAGGCCACACTGACACGGCAATGAAAAGACGATATCAGTAGATGCGCGCGAGATATATACAATGCCACGTGGTGACTGCCACGTGAACTCAGGGCGTGGCAAATACTCGACATTTCAGATACCACATAACGGATTATTGCCGGTGATGTTTGTCCTGATCAGGTCGTGTTTACAGTATTAGAGGCAAGCACGGAAACCTGGTCGGTATACCTGCTGTTGGAGCTGTGAGGACGTTAACAGAGCGAGTTCACGATCGCAGTCAGAAACATGCGCAATCACGGACGGCTATAAACATTTGGGTCAGGAGCAGTCGGGCGCCAATGACTGACAGCATGAGCATCGATCCACGACTTTGATCTCGTGGTCCTCATCATACGACTTGCCCTTCCCAAGTGTGTGTGGGGTTGGGGAGGGTGGGGGTTTAGCCTAGTGGTTAAAGCGCTAGCTCGTCACGCCGAAGTCCCAGGTCCGATTCCCAAGAAACAATGGTTCACACTTATTAAATTTAGACTGACTGACTGAGTTTGGTTTTACGCCGCTTTTGGTAATATTCCAGCAACATCACGGCGGGGAACACCAGAAAATGGGCTTCACACATTGTACCCATGTGGAGATATTCGAACCCGGGTTTTCGGCGTGACGAGCCAACGCTTCAACCACTAGGCTACCCCACCGTCCCAATTAAATTTAGAACATGTTTAGAACTGTACTACAATGAAAGGTAATGTGTATGATAGCATGGCTCTTGGGGAATTACGTGCATTTTTCCATTGTAAGTATTTAAAAAGCTGTTGATATGATTTGTTACCAACATGTAATCACACAGAACCAAACATGCCAATATACCACTGCTTATTAATACTAGAAAGTGTGTTCAATGAATTACATACTTTTTTCATACTACATTCATACATATATGTCCGTTAAATGAAACATACATAATCCTTTTGACGTGTAACTTACATATATTCATGTACGACCTACATATGCCACAGACTGTGGACAGAAAAGTAAATAAGCCACAGGAATACGTATGTGCCTGCATACTGTGTTCACAAACAATCAAAGTCAGTAGGTTACGGTTGACTAACTCTACAGGTGCTTCCCCAGACCTTTCAAATTCTGAGTCACGTTTTGAGCGAACTGTGAGACAAGCTGTTGACAATGGATGTCCCTTCGCGGTCCAGTTCACACACCTGCAAACAGCAACCTGGTCGAGGTGTAGACTGGACCCAGTCGCCGTCTCCAAATATTAAAACAAATCCGAGGTGAGTAAACCGCTCTGAAGAGTCCCAGCTGATTGCGCAAGGCGGGCATAATCAGAAATCTACTTTTCAAACACGTTCTTGATGATATCACTGACTGCTTGTTAGTCGAAGATATCTAATGTTGTTTTCTACGAAATATAGAGGCTATATAAAGTCTATGTTTGAAGTGGTTCACAGACACAAACACGCGACATCGCGTCATTCTAAATAATAGAAATGTTATACAAGTAAATATTTGTTATGAAAGAATTTCAAATATTTTGATCCGCGAAGTAAATTAATGCTTAACGGTCGCTATACTTCTGACTGATTTAACTAGCATTATTGTGTAATCGCCTCAATTCATAGATCAGCCATTAAGTCCTTTAAAAATCTAAGATAAGAATACCACTCCCCACCCCCTAACCCAAGTAGGTGAGCGAGTGAGTATGGTTTTACGCCGCGTATAGCAATATTCCAGCAATATCACGGACACCAGAAATGGGTTTCACACATTGTACCCATGTGGGGATTCGAAACCGGATCTTCGGCGTGACGAGCAGACGCTTTAACCACTAAGCTACCCCACCGCCCCCATAATGAAGTTGGATAAATGTTGTCTCCCTTTGCCACGTTGTAGAGATTAGACCTAACATTGCTTCAGTGTATTTCGTGTCCCGTACTGTTCTTTCTTAATTTTGTATCCCATAACTATAATTAAAAAACATCAAATCTTGTACAAAAAATAAACCTTTTTTTTAATTTGAAAGATGTACTCGTACGAGTAAAACATGATCAACGTTTACGTCAAGGCCAAGGCTGCCGCCATGTTGTGTTTCATCACGTGATAATCACGTGTCCAATGCTAGTTCCAATGTTGATTCTTGACAGAGATACTGTGTATGATTGAGGCGAGTCGGTGACAGGTTGTGGTCACTTGTATGCCAGCCAAGGCGACATATCTACAGCCCCGTGTCAGCTGACTGTGTGACCTAGGGGGTATTAACATAAGCCTTGTCACAGAACGTAAGATGCTCATGACCGCTGAGTAAAATCCGTATTCTGGCCTGCATTCCATCACGGCAATATACGTGAGAAGTGATCTAAGATGAAGTCTCAATAGTGGTCAGTTAATCGATAACCAATCAGTCATATTTGATCTGTTTGAGAAGACAGCTAATATTTCTCTTTGACATTACTGGCTGAGAAAAAGTAATGGCTGTATGTGCGTTTCTTTGGGGGAATTGCACTGTAGGGGTTCATCATTGCGACCATATTAAGACGGGTATCGGATGGGTTGCTGATGTAATCATGTCCATAAGGTTGCTAAGCACCCCGATCCGTGTTTAGCAGCTTCGTTCTATGAATGGACTGCAAGCTCGTCAGCGACCACAAGTTTAATCGTTTGGGGTAAGACAGGGTGATGCGCTCTTACCTCCTGCGTTATCGAGAAAAGGGAGTTCGGAAAAACGGATTGCCGGGCGAATGCTTTAACCATAAAAACCCTCAATCATAATTCACACATTGCTGCTTCAGTAGAACTGAAACCTACCCTAAACTGAAAACATTCATCGCCCATTTTGACCATACAATCCCCATTTTGTGTATTTAACATTTCGGTTCCCTTAAACTTTCTTCGGAAATACAATGGAAAAAACTACCATGGATCTTACTGTGATGATGATCAAACAGATGCCTTGAACGTTTATTGCGCTACATGAATATTGTAAACATGACATTTTCACATAAGTTTATGTCGACACGTACATACATTGACGTAAATGTATATCGAAGTCTACGGTAACATTAAATTATATAGGAGATTGTTTCCTCTGGTACAAATACGGATGTCCTTTGAGGACGTAGCCATGCGTGGCATACATCGTGCAAGCACCCCTTTGATCATAACATTAGTCACAAAGACCAAAGACCACTTACATACAATCTATTCTTCCGAACATATATTTAAGTGCGATGGTTCTACTTCTCCCACGCTCTGGTTGCCATAGACTGCTTGTGTTGTGAGTTATATACTCAACAAAATAAATTTAGGAACATGAATATTTTTTGGATAATTATTCACATTGTACGCTCAGTTTTCGCCACAAAAACATACCCCTTTTTAATCACAATCTAAGGAATTTTATGTTCAGTACAGTGCAATACTCGAGTATGTTTTTACGCCGTTTTGTAGAAATATTTCGTCAGTATCACAGTTAGGAACCCAAACTTCAGCGTTGTGAGCTACCCTTCCGCCCCTACAGACCATAATCACCTCATGTCGTCAAGAAAGGAGGTAGCTGAAAATTAAACAGCTGCTGAGTGAATTCTGTCGCTATCTTGACAACAACTTTCGGTTATATCACGACGTCAGCTTGGTGTCGCAAGAAATCCCAAAGTGATGCATGGCACAATAAGTGCGAACCTGGAATTCGAACCCATCATCATAGTATTCTGGTACGTCTAAGGGAGGGAACTCTGCACAGCGAATGTCTGAAGCGAGGGAGATTATACAATTGGATTGGTACATTGTATTGGTTGAGTACTGTTCGTATAGCTATCCCATTTCATCCACACTGGAATGAATGGACGGGCGATAGTCGAACACACGGGCCATCTGTCCTGTTACATTGTGAACTGCTCTCTCAAGGTCAGATATCCTATTTCACGTGTCATGTGTAATGTACAGTATATAACCCATAACAAATTCAAACTCCACACCACCACCCCACACAGCCCCTCGAACCACCCTCCTCCATCTCCCACCCACTTCCTACTCGCCACATCTGGCAAGCTGTAGATCTTAAAGTACATCCTTTGAAAGCTCACACCACCTTTGTGGTGTATCGATCGAAGCACACCTGAGAAAGGCGACAGCCCAGGACAGAACATACACCGCATTACTATACTCGGTTAATATATGTCCATGATAACATATTTCACTCGTCTACCCTGCCTCCACATCGACGGTGACATTCCTGGACGACACTGTTTACACAGCAAGAGACTTAAGTGACAGCTAGCTCCTTTAACATGATAAAAACACAGATTGTCCCAACAAGATGTTTCTAAGTATTCTGTTTATGCAATACCGTTCACCTTCGCAAGTGTTAACCACGTATTACCATAATCATTATTTCTATTGCTTGTCAGATGTTTCAATTGCTTTCAAATGTGTATATGTACTGCCTGGGGCGATAATAAAGGAAATGCTAAATGATTGTATGTGTGACCTGCTTGCTTATACCACGACACTTAAAAAACCCACATATATGCAACAGGATGCAGAAGTGATATTGAAAGAATGTTTGCTCGAATTGAGGTCTCCTACAGTGAACCTGCCCACGTCATCGGGGCCCCACGTGTGTATTGCATGTTAAGCATTGTGACAAATCAACGTCAATATTTATAAATATGTCAATCATTAAATAAGTGTTTACTTACATGTGACAGTTTTAGAAGTGGGTTTGAAATCCAGAATTTAATCTGATTAATATATGACCAGCTTATGAAAGGCGTTATGGAGTTGGGGGCGTATCGTGAGGAATTCAAAACCTGTAAACAAACACCGCGAATGAGGCGAGAAGTGTCACGGCAACAACATAACATACCCGCTGACAATGAATTTCTTACCTGAATTCTTGGATCCAGGTCGTCATTGACGTCCACGTCGTCGCCCATGTCGTCCATTCTGCTGTCCAGACAAGAAACTAGCCGCTGTCCACAGTCTGACCACACATGGGTCCGCGTTCACTCAACTCCCTCCTCCTCGCTGTTCTTTGAGACAGTCACTCACAGCGCGACCCGTCACGATCAGCTTTCAACTCTGACCTGTGACATAACTTCACCTTTGACCTACATGGCACGGCATGGTTTCCCGCCCTGGTTAAACTAAAACAATAGCCCGTGTGGCCGACCGATCGTGGAATGCGCTACACTACAGCAGCCGAGATACGACAGGAATTTGTAGATTATTGTAATTACAGTCAGAGCGACGTGTTTTGAAATGCCAGGCTAGCCCGGCGACTGCTGTGACAACCATATCGATTGTGATATACATGTACCTACACTGGAAGTGCTGATGACTGGGCGCGTCACATCAATGCCCGATCTTGATTGACAGACGCATTGTACTACGACATGGTAAACACTGACATAGGTATATTGTGAAGGTTAACTACAGGTTATGGGGTCATGATGGGGACACGTGAGCTGGGCGAATTCGTGGACTGGATGATAAACAAACGGAAAAATAGTACTGAATTACTTGTCAGCAACACTGGTAGTCTGTGTCACAGTCCCGGAACCACATTATTTTCCCTACTGCCTAGCCCTCCCTGCACTGCTGAAGCCCTAAATGAAACAAGTCTAGATTTCCCAAGATCCTGAATTTCCCAACTCACCGAGGCTCCTTTTGTCAATTTAAATGGGTTTATTTGTTACTATCAGAATTATATATATTCAGAGACGAAGCGTTAGTCTACACTGAGTGTGCTTGACGATCTATTATCTATCATTCCGCGCTAAAACAACAGCAATATATGTACATTTTGTACTAGTCTGTCTCACAGTCCCTGAACCACTTTATTTGAAGGTAGGACAAAATCCCATAGTAGAACATATCTGCACACTGCGGACAAAATCCCAAAAGTGTGAAAAATGACAAGGTCGTGCTTGAGAATATTTCGCTCATATGACGACGTGCATGTACTAGCTGCTTGTACTAGCCCAGACTTAAGCTGGTTTTATAGTGCTAGCCCACTGAGACACCATGCCGCAGTGAAGCATGAACACCCCACTCAGACACATTATACTGACTCCCAGCCGACCAGTCCTTGTTGTACCCATTAATGCCGAGCACCAGACAGGGACCAACAAGTACCATATTTTAACGTCTTTTGGTATGACGCGGTTGGGTATCGAACCCGTGACTTCCGCTCTCCGGGCGGACGCTCTAACCACTACACCACGGAGGCGGTCACATCTTTTAGATGAATGGCTGGATGACTGTGATATGTACGCTCGTAACAAGAACCGGATTCTCCATTGTCAACGATGTCTTCATGGACCCACAACATTCTACAAGTATGCAATGTTTCTTGAATATTCCCACCTAATACTTCGCTTATTTGTAACCTTCTCAGTGTACAAAAATCCACCTAATGCTACTTTAACTCGTCCCTTATTGCTCTTCAGTACTTCCATTTTGGAACACTGATAAAAATTGTCAACATCACAGAAACATTTATACAATTGATCAATACATCGACTTATCTCCCTGGCTTCTGTCATGAAAACATGATATTAATAAAAACTGATGAAAAAGGGTAGCAATTAACATATAAAAATGGGATTTGATTTAAACATATTTTTATTCATGAAGATGAATTGGGATTGGTGAACAAGCATTACTGCTTATGTTAACCCCGCTCCCATGCAACGTATAATACAACATGAAATGGAGGATTTGACGTCATCGACACTGACCATTGCCTAAATATAATATTTTTAAATATATATAAATATATACAGATTACATGAAATACAACTATTCTCTAGAGAGTTACAGTTGTGTGTGTCTAAAAAGCCATTGTAGAAATATAAATCAATCATGAGAAGGTTGTTGAGTAAATTTAATTATTTTCCTGAGAATATTTGAAGCGTTGTGTCTTGGTTATATAATCGTGGACGGATTCAACTATTTTCTGGTTCTTTGTTTCCCTTAAGAATGGTATCCAGGTTATAACCGGTAGTGTAAAAAATACATAGTTAGTCTTGTCCAAGTATAGTTACGGCAAGTGAGGAAATAGTGTAGGGCGTTTCCCTGTCTGCAGTGCTTAAGCCCTAAATGAAGCAAGTCTAGATTTCCTCAGGTTCTTAATCTCTGGTCTCCCTGGGGCTCCTTTTCAGTTTAAATGGGCTTGTTTGTTACTATCAAATCTATATATATTCAGAGACTAAGCATTAGTCTAATATAATCCGTTTGTATCACGTACTGTTATCAATAGATTATGTTCCCATAAAGCTAATTATACAACAGATCAGGCCACGCCTATTGGACTGACGTTTCAATAATACATGATGCGTGGCTTGTGGTCGATATAATGCACTGATCAATGCCATTTAATTCGTGTGGCTGTTTACAGTTATTAAAGTTGAAAATTACATAAGAAGCCGGTGAAGTTATTATTGTTGACTTTCTTGTCAGAGAATTGGCTGTAATATTCGTTTCATGGTGGTATAAGCGTAGAAACTGGTTTGCACATTTATGTTTTGTTTATTTGTTGTTTAACACCGCGCTCAGCAATATTCCAGCTGTATGGCGGCGGTCTGTAAATAATCGAGTCTGGACCAGACAATCCAGTGGTCAACAGCATGAGCATCGAGCACATTTTGTGTGAATCCTCTACCTCGCACATCGTATACGTTATACCAAATCTAACACAAAGCCGGGGCGGTGGGGTAGCCTAGTGGTTAAAGCGATCGCCCGTCACGCCGAAGACTCTGGTTCGATTCCCCACATGGTTACAATGTGCGAAGCCCATTGCTGGTGTCCCCGCCGTGATATTGCTGGAATATTGCTAAATCAGCGTAAAACTAAACTCACTCACTCACTAACACAAAACTTGTTAACTGAGAAAATTACAGTCGAAGAATAATTTGTTGTACGTGAACATAGCTCTTTCGAGTTTGATAAAGAAACTCTACTTTGTGGCGGTTGCTCTGAGTTTATGTCCAAAATGTATTGCCACATTTAGACTACGAGACTATTTTTCAAACGAGTTCATGTGCACCAGTATTTGACCTGCCCCGAGTGTGAAGAAGAAAAGTATGAAAAGATAAAATGTCATTGTAGTGTTGCACAGTAAACAGATAACGGCCACTTTAAGCTACGAGCAGCGCATATATTATCTTCTCGAGATGGCTAGGCATTTGATCAATTTTGACGGAAATCTATATTTACGTGGACAAATTCACGAAAATCAGGGCTCTAAATTCTCAAACTGTCGGAAATTGTATTTTGGGATCATATTTTGGGGTCGTTGTCAGTTTGCAGTCCATAAGTCTATTTTAATGGAATTTTAAAAAAGCTTTAAGAGCAAATGGGTTCAAAACCGTTCACATTGTGACGAAATATCGCTAAGTATTGTCATTTCATCCACTTTGAACCACCCCTCCATATCCCCACCCCACGCCACGAGTCCCCACCACTCCGATCCTCGTCCCCCATCCGTCAAACACCACCACTGCTGCGGAGGATGGTGATGGCGCCAGTTGCATCACATGACGCAACGCCGACGTGGCTGTTAGGTTGTGTGACGTTACGCAAGTCGATCCAACTCTAATTACATCCTGCAGTGTACATATGCAGATTGGAGAAATGTATTTGCATACCTCTTTAGTCTACTTTACGACCACAGCTTTAGAAATGCAGTGGCACGCTCGCTGTACATGTTAATCTCCCAATCTAACGACTCTGGTTCACAATGGGGAGAAGGCAAGTCACGTTTCGGGCGAGTATGTCGAGTTTCAATGTCGAGAACTGATGGTGAAGCGCACTTTTAAAAAAAATGAAGACGACAACAGCTCCAGCTCTTGACCTCCGGCCCCATCGGTAATTCAGTACAAAGCTGTTATTTAAAATTTAAATTTATCCTCTCCTGAGTTCCTGAACAACGATAGTCTCAAAACAAGAGATGTCATTTTTGGAGGTTTGTACCACGAAAAATGGTGATAGCGTTCGAGCTTCGGGATATGACAACTTAGCAACGGAAGCGCTCGTAAAATATTACGCGTACCCGTGGTCTCACTGTGCCCTCGCCGAGAATATTTAAAGGGGCTTTATCTGTACTAAATACAGTATTAACAAGACCACTTTGAGGTGAAAATTCACAATGCATCTCATTGATCATGATTACTCTAATGGGTACCCGGTAGGATGAGACCGTTAGCTTTCTAGTCCCTCATGGACAGCTTTGGTTGTATTCTCCACCAGAGAGTCAGAGCGACCCGCCTAGTGGTTACAGCGTTTGCTCGTCACAGAAGACTTGGGTTCGATACAATGTATGAAGCCCATTTCTGGTGCCCCCAAAATTGCTGGAATATTGCTAAAAGCGGCGTAAAACCATACCCACTCATCCAAGAGAGCAAATCTCTGTATTCTTTGAAAATAATATCCACCGTGCCAATGTGCCGCAATCTAAGAGGTTCATGAACAACTTGACCAGTCTTGTCCATTCAGACCAAATGACCAGAGGATCCAGGTTTGATGAAGGGACGCAACTCTATCGGGCCCTTTATACGTATGACTTTGATTCCCCCCAAACGCCTTGTCGAGCTGCTTTAGCTATTCGCAGAAAGTCCCGGTAAACCAAAACATAAGTCAGTATGATACATTCATGGTTTTATTTGGAAAATCCCTGATATATTCAATATCTCACAAATGTGAAATGTAGCTGGCCGTGTAATCCAATGAATAAGGACCTCTTTGCTCTGAAACGATTGGGGTTAATTTGGAACAAACTGCAGAACGGAAGTATAGAAATGATAATAAAATAAAAGAAGCACCCCCATGAATGAATTAGTAGTGCATGTCCATATCAGTGTGATGAAAACGCATGTTGAGTGGTTTGGTTCATCCCGGTGTTTGGTTTTGATTGGTTTGGAAAAGTTAAAACTACCAGGAATACACCGTGGTGCCGTAATTTGGTATGGTTTCACAGTACACAATTTTTAAAACATAAATCTAAAATATTACTTCTTTTGTCATTCCGGGTGTTGAGTGTCACAGTGCAGGTCAGTTAATGTTTACCACGTGATGGGATAAATATATATAACAATAAATTACATTGGTGAATGAGTTTAGTTTTACGCCGCTTTTAGCAATATTCCAGCAATGTCACGGCGGGGAACACCAGAAATGGTCTTCACACATTGTACCCATGTGGGGAATGGAACCCGGGGTCTTCGGCGTGGCTAGCGAACGCTTTAACCACTAGGCTACCCCACCGCCCCAAT